GCTACCCAGACCCCTGAGTTGGGAGACACAGATGAGGAGTGGGATGAAGCCCCCTAATCCAAAGGGAAATGATCAACAACCTGCTACACCACTTAAACACACACAAGTCTATGGGGCCACACAGGATCCACCCAAGAGTACTGAGGGAACCGGTGGAAGTGCTCACAGCCATTTTTATTTATCAGCAGTCCTGGCTCAGCAGGAAGGTCTCAGTTGACTGGAAGTTAGCAGATGTGATGCCTGGCTACAAGAGTGGCTGGGAGGAGGATCCGGGGAGCTATAGACCTGTCAGTCTGATCTTGGGTGCTGGGAAAGGTTACAGAGCAGATCATCTTGAGTGCTATCCTGTGGCATGTACAGTACAACCATGTGACCAGGCCCAGTAGGTATGGGTTTATGAAAGGCAGGTCCTGTTTGACTGCTTTGTTTATCTCTTCTTCTAAGTAACAAGCGATAGCACAAGAGGAAATGGTCTCAAGTTGCGCCAAGGGAGATTTAGATTGGATATTAGGAAAAAACTTTCCACTAAAAGGGTTGTCAAGCATTGGACCAGGCTGCTTAAGGAAGTGGTGAAGTCACTGCCCCTGGAGGATTTAGAAGACATCTATATGCAGCACACAGGGTTTAGTGGTGTACTTGGCAGTGCTAGGTTAGTGGTTGGACTCAATGATCTTAACGGTCTTTTCAATCTAAACCCATATAGAATTCTATGTTTCTATACTGAGAATTTGTACTGTTGTGAAAATTGGATGTTACTTTAATGGCAGTATCAAGTTTGAGTTAAATATACAGCAAATACAGTAAAAGCTACTGACAATCCAAGTGCAGTGGATGCCTGACCTGCCTTGTATTGAAGCTGATGAAGTATTTCTATGGTACTGGATGGACATTGGCCTCAGCCTCAAGAATGCACTTCAGATTGAACTTCTCTGTTTTTGCAGTGATCTTACTAAATTTATAAAGTTGGTATTAGATTTGCTCTGTGGTACAAGAACATTACTATTCTGTTAAATTATTTTTTCAGTGTATTCTTTTCTGAAAGAATTTTTTTTTTATTAAGTACTTTTCACATCTTTGTATTCAGAATCAAAACGAGAAAAGCCCTGTGAATGACAAGAAAACCTAAATCAAAATAGGTTCTTGATCCCAAGATTTTCCAGGGCAAGGCTCAGAAATAACTTTGTGGGAAGCCCTCCTCATACCTTAGCCTTTTCCTTCACAACACAGAGATACACTTTGTGAGCCTATTCCTAATGAAACAAGTTTCTGAGCTCCAAACTGTATTATATTATTGTAGTATTTACACCTCTAATACCAGCAACATACTAAATCCTTTTAAGAGATGTTGGAAGACAAAGTCCTTGCCTAAACAGCTTAATATTCATATTTTATTTAAAATAAAATAAAAAAAAATCCATACTCTGGGTCTGTAAGATACCAGATTAAAGAGGCTTTTCTCCTTAAATTAGCTCACAGAAATACAAGCCCCTGAGGAGTGAAAGAGACAGCTGTGAAGGGAAGGGAGCCAGCACTACCGAGCACAAAGCGAATTTCAGCTGCCTCATCCGGAGATGCACTTTCAGACTCAGCCTGGAGTCCTTACAGACGCTTTTATCCCTGGGAACCCAGCTGGGATAAGAGAGGGTGGGATCACTGTGCCCCCCCTGCATGGCATTCCATGTGCAGAAGCAAGACCCAGCCCTGCCTCATCTGGGACATGAGAACCAAAGGTGGTGTAATGGAATGTAGCCTTCTGATCTGCCACCTCAGATGACAGCCCTTGCAATCAGAACAAAATCAGATCGCTCTTCCTTTTGTCAGAAGTCAAGAGTGTATAACGCAGTTTCTCAGCTCTGACTACTGTGCACTATTCCCAATATTTTGTCATAGTAAAATTCTTTGAAATGTCTATGTGTAGCACATCTCAGCGTCAACATTCTTTTTAAAAATATACTGAATTATTAATAACAAAGGAAAACTAAAGAATAGCATATGAAGAAATCTTTCAGAAAAAGTTATATTTCTCATCAAGATATACTTGTAGTAGAAATAGGATAATTTTGCCATAATGGACAACAGTGAGAGTGAAATGGAGCACAGTGCTCAGGAAGGGAACAGTGAATGCGACTAATACATTTTTAGGAGAGGAAGGCATACCCACCATTACATCTTGACAGTTGAGGAGCAAAACTGACAAGACTTTTGAAGCCATAAGTTCCAGCTTGTGGTAGAATTTTAATGTGTTTCCACATGAGTGATATTTGTTTAGATATTGTAAGCCAAGTACTAGAAAATTCGATTAGCAAATGGATAAATACAACTGAAAACTGGGCAAAGAGATTTGAAATTACATGGAAGTGCTTCAGTCAGTGGGTTTTGCTCTTCAAGGATATTACTTTTTTTTTATATATTCTGTGAATTCTTACTGGATTTGGAATTGTTTCCATTACAGATGCTAGAGATTTTGCAACGAAATCTGCCAGGGTTAAAGAACAGTAACAGAACAACAGCAGAAGAGGTATAGGTTAAAGGTGATACAGTTTTGACTTAATGATCCATGTTTTGTGAAAAGCTCATCACAGATAAAACTTCTATGCTTCATTCCTGGCCACAACACAACGACAAAAAGACTTAACTCGCTGAGCTACTCCTGGTTCTTAAGAAATTGTCTGTTACACAGCCAAAATCCACATCTGTCGTTGCAGGGTTAATTATTTCTGAAACCCAAACAAGACAGAAAGAAGTCTACACAAATAGATGCAGAACATAAATAAATCTGGCTAATAGCTGCACAGAGGGCAAATCACCCAAAGGCGGCAGGCAAAGGAGGTGAGTCCACAGAGGACCCTGGGGTATGATATCATGCCCTAGCACCTGTACCGGAGCACCCAGCCGAATGCTGATTAACACAGGAGTTGGAATGCTGTGCAAACCAGCCTCATGCTGACACTGAAATGAACCAGAGAGCTCAAATATGAGAAAAAGAAAAAGCAATAAACATTAGAAAAAGAAAACAGCAAGTTGTGTGTAGCCCCAGCGACTTTGTCAATATATTGTGTTTCCCACAAAGATCTGGAAGACCTGACATTTTCTGTATTGGTTGTCAAGGAACACTGCAAGAATACTAGAGATAGGGGAATAGAGATGCAGAGCAGTCAGATAACTTACCATGACAGTCAAACCGAGTCAAAATTACATCCAAGGCATCCCTCTCCAACTTGTGAGGTTAGATCATGCTGATTTTATCAGCAAGGTCATTGTAGCACCTATGCTGAACCCAAAATCTAGTCTGATGTTTGTTTAGGAGATTTGAGTAATCTCTTTAAGAGAATTAACAAGTGATGGAGTCCTAAAGAACAATCTTCTCTCAGCCCTGTCAGAGCAGAAGGATTTGAGGTCAAAGCCAGGTGAAGTTTTTTTTAAGGAAGTCTGGAAACAAACAAAATTCTCTTTAGCACCAGTCGTGTTACGGAAAATGGAGGGACAAGCCTGCAAATGATTTCAGGTTGGGTCCAGTTGTCCGGCTGCCATGGAGGCAACCTGTTACATGCTGCATGATGCTGCAGTATTGATAATACGATATGCAGAGAGTCTTGCTCCAACAGGTTTCTGCTGTGGGCCGCATAGACCTGCATGTCAAAACATGTGAATGTTTTGCTGCCTTTTTCCAACATCTGTATACTGCCTGTTGGCCCTTCAAGATACAGCGCTGGCCCTGGAGCTATGTGATGGGAGCTAGCTTCTACTTAAGGGAGTAGATGAGAAAAATCACTGAAACAAAGTCACTGATGCTCAAATGCCAAGCTGTTACATCTTCATTAAGTCTTAGTTCAGAAATCAGCCATCTCTTTTTACAAATAATTAGAAAGATAATCAGTGTATATAAAGACATTCACTTGACACTCTTGTGTTAAGTTCTGGGAAGGGCTTTGAGGAACTGGCTTTGAATCCTTGCAAAAAGGATTATGTGTTCAGGTTGCTGGATGGATCTAAAATAAACCATTTCTATATGCCCTCATCTGAAAATATGTGGCTGAAATCACATAAAATTAGCCCTTCTTCACAGATCAGTCCAAGAAAATAACAAAAATCCCACAAAAGCAGCGTTCCCACAAGACTCCTATCATGTCAGGCAGAATGGTCACTTAGCAGCTCGTGGCATTGTTGTGCTATGAAACCTTTTCCTTCCCAAAAGTCTGATGAATTTTTATCTAGATCCAGAAACAAAGAACAACATCCTGGCCTGTGGAAGTGGATGCTGCGGATGCTCATCTCAGGCACCCTGCTGTTTCACAGCTGGCAACAACAAACAGAACTATCAGTCGTCTGAGCCAAGGTTCATCAGATGGAATCTCATCCCACTTAGAGTTAACGTTGGAGTACTGCAGCCTCATGTGTAGAGGTTGGTTTGGATATTAACTCATCACAGCTTTCAAGCTTTGGACTAACAGAAAATTTGAAACATAACTGAGAATCCTGAGGTCTAATACCGCAAACTTAAGAGCACCTAATGCAGCAGCTGCAGCTGGAAGGGGTACTACAATTCACCAAAGTTTTACAGTGATAGCCAGTGTTGTGTCATCAAGACATTTTGGCATGACACATCCTAATGTTCACCCTAACGTTGCCAGTACCTGTAACAGTGTGTGGAAAAAATAGCGGTTGTATTCTTTTTTCTGTGTCTATTTGAAGAGTTGGATATAACTGTTAATTGAGTGGAAGTAGGCAATAAAAGCAGTCTTTGGCAAGTTTGTGCAGTTTACTCTCCAGCCATGACTCATCCTTTACTCTAAGAAGCAAAGCCCAAGTGACCCAGCTGTGGTGAGCAATGGTCATCACAGAGGCAGTTTCCTTAGCAACATGAAAACATCCAAGACATCTTCTGCCTCCTGCTCACTGTCCCTTGAAGCTGTTGTTAAATAAGTGGGTGTGAAACCTCTTGCCTGAATTTCAGAGGTACAATCAATGTATCACAAAGTAAAATCTTTTGCTTGCAAGCAAGTTAACTTCTACCACTGCCCTGGCTTCAAGCTTAATAGGAAATAAAGCTTTGTATGTTTTTTTCTTTTTCCCTACTGTGTTATCTCCAAGCATGGGCTGGGCTCAAACAAATAAAGGAATTAGCTCCTAGGTCCTCAACTGATACAAATTGTTGTCAGGGATCTGTTAAAGTTAATGAAACTATGACAATTCAGAGCAATCAGACCAGGTGCTCACCAGGTTCCAGGTGCTCATGACCAAGGGTAGATTAAGAGGCTACAGAATAGCTCACTCAGGAAGAGTTGTGGTGGTTGTTTTGTTGGGAGCAGTTTTGTGTAGCTTCTAGGTGAGACATTTTGAGGAAAGCAGCTTTTTTTGAGGCATTGGACCAAAGAGTTGGGAGCTGTTTAAAATAGGGCAGGATGTTTGTAAGCAAGTGGCAGAAGTCCATCCAAGGTATATCCAGTAGTCTGCAGTAGTTCCTTTTTATCTGTGTGTTGTTTTGTAGAGTATCTTTTATCCTAGTATTCAGCTTTCTGTGTAAATTTTATTGTACTGCATCAAGGTGCCATTTTTGTGTTTACTGTAATTTACATTATTATTCAATTAAGCTGAATGTATGTGGTTTCCTCCCTGTGTAGATATGTGTTTATGGGAGAACTGCCCAGAAATGTGTGTATTGATTTATGCCTGTCTCAGTTTGATATAAGCAGATGGGGGTCTTGGTGTTTTAGTTTAGCTGATGGACTGTGCTAAGCATAGCCTATTTCTGCTGCTGTTATGTGTGAGTTATTTTTAAGGCAGCTAAGTAATTTTTGATGTAGTGTAGAAGGTGAAACAGAGCCAGCTTTATAAGCAATAATAGGATATTATTTAGGCTGAAATGTGTCAATATTTGGAAAATTCCACGCTTAGTAATAAAACCTAGCCTGAGGGAAGCTGATGGTGCTTCCTGCACCAGATGGGAGAGTGGGTTAGTAGCATGAGACAGAGGCTGAGTGCTCCTGTGGCCATTAAGAGGCAATGCTGGGGGTGTAGCTTAGGGGAAACATGAGGGTGCAGCCAGGAAGAGAGGCATGTGGGCACCAAGCCATTTCAAATTGGGAAAATAAGATGAGAAATAGAGACTTTAGTTGCAGTGTTGCAAAGGGGACAAGTGCTGGTGGTAATCTGCTTAGTGTGAGGGGATGCAAGCCTCATTATTGAGTCAGAGGGTGAACATAGCATAGCCACAGGTTTCAGTAGAGGAAGGTGGAGGAAGAAAAGGCAAATCTGGAGAAGGTGTGAAAGAATAGAGATTTGAGCTTTGAGGGTTGTGGTACCTGATAGCTCTTGATGGTAATCCTGTCCCCACCTGGGACCCAGCATGAGGTTGCCTGACAGGCTTTTACAAGGCTGCCGTCATCAGAAGGATACAGCCCTGGCTGTGTTATGCTGACATTTGTCATATAAAGCTGACAGCAATAGTGGATGATAGCCCATGTTTCTGTGTTATCTTCTTCAGGACACCTAAGAACATGCCATTGACAACATTTTTGAGCACTGGATTTCAGCCAGTTTCTTGAAGAAGCAATAGTTTGGCAGTGGTCCTACAACAGAAGCCCCAGTCTTTAATATTTTTGATTGAGAATGAGGGACTTCCCTTCTCCCTGCTTACTAGCTCCCCCAAATAAACAACCTCTCCTTACAGCACACACTGTATACCCAGGACTGTCTAGAGGGTCTTTAAGGATGTTAATTACTCAACGTGAGCACCTTGTTGTTCTCAGCCTGATGCTCAGACTCTTTCAGTTGGACAAATATATGTGCTCTAATCAGTGTTATTGTATGGGAGCAGCTGTCTGTAGTACTAGGCAGCAGATTTAATGACATATCACTCTAGGAGTCTGGGCTAGAATATAGCAATGACTTATTAAATGTAACTCTGAATGAGCCAATTTTGCTAGTTTTTGAGAGATAATAAATAACTGAAAAACAAATGAATCTTCTATCCTTAGCCGATTGCACAGGTCAGGCCTTCTAGTTATTTGTAGGCTGAATCTGTTATTGACTACCGTATTTCTTGGCATGAACTAAAATTTCAGCCTCCAAGTTCATGACCGTTAGCCACGGTGAAAATGATACTTTTGTCTTGCATGAGTTTTCCTGTGGAAGCTGCAGATGGTTTGATTGATTTATGGCTGTGGTTGGGTACTTATAGGTAATTTGGGTGCCTACAAAAATGGTCAATCTGGAGAGGGTGCTTGCTGTATGACATGAAGATTCCTCCTGCAGTGCTCCAAACCAGCTGTAGCTTTCTGGTGCACTGGTGAAACTTGCTGCTTGTGGGTTGAGAGTGCGGTTGTAAGGATTAAAAGGGGATGTATTAAACTCACCTGATCCTTTATGTAGGATTCTGGTAGAGCTTTTCTGCCTAAACTTTTTGCCTTGCTTTCTTTGACCCCTCTGATATTAGTTGCTGGTCTTTTTATGCTGTTGAATCAAAATGAGTGCATGATTTGTACGGGAGGAGTAAGGATGGGAGCTGAAGTTTTCAAGACCCTTATGGGTATGCAAAGGAGATTAATACACATGAGGCAGTGACTACTCTAAAGACTACTTTAAATCCTTGAGTGTGGGCCTGAGTGGAGTTTGAACAAGCTGTATGCTTATGCAATTAAAGTGAAGCTGTGCTGCTGCTTGAGTACTTAACAGCATTGGACAGGGACATAGGTCATCTAACTGCTATGTGGCCATCTATTTAATCACTGAATGGAGGGAAACTGGCACTTTTGCTGCATGGTGCAGGCAGTAGATTTCTGTCTCGGGCTATGTAACTGCAGATTGGGGAGTGATTGTCATTTCAGCAGCACCTGTGCTCTTGTTTTGTTGGTGGTGTTGCTTATTTTTCTGGATCAGGAGGCTGCAATTCAGAAAATGTTAAGAGTACAGCTTGAGCCCTTGAGATCAGGAGTGGATGTAAACTTTAAAGAAAGTGCTGAAGGATAAACGCCTTGAAAGAAGTTACAATTTTATAATCACTGTAGAAGACTGACACAGTAAGGGACTTTTTTTAACCAAAATTTCCAGGTTCTGTTTTTCCGCTTTTTCCATCAAATCTGTTTGGAGGAAAACAAGCACCATCCTTCCCTGCTTTTGCCTCCTGTAGCAAGGCAGAGCTGTAACTGGGAGCAGGGGTCGCAGTTAAAGCTACAGTCTTATGTGGCTTTAAGACCTTACAGTGATGGAAATCTTTGGAAGTGCAAGGGCCTACACCTGTGTGGGAACAATCCCAGGCACGGCTACAGGTTGGGCAGAGAAGAGATTCAGAGCAGCCCTGAGGAGAAGGACTTGGGGATGTTGGTTGATGAGAAAATGAACACGAGCAGGCAGTGTGCGCTTGCAGCCCAGAAAGCCAACCGTATCCTGGGCTGCATCAAAGGGAGTGTGACCAGCAGGTCAAAGGAGATGATCCTGCCCCTCTGCTCTGCTCTCGTGAGACCTCACCTGGAGTATTGTGTGCAGTTCTGGTGTCCTCAACATAAAAAGGGCATGGAACTGTTGGAACAAGTCCAGAGAAGGGCCATGAGGATGATCAGGGGACTGGAGCACCTCCTGTATGAGGACAGGCTGAGAAAGTTGGGGCTGTTCAGCCTGGAGAAGAGAAGGCTGCGTGGAGACCTCATAGCAGCCTTCCAGTATCTGAAGGGGCCCTACAGGGATGCTGGAGAGGGACTCTTCCTCAGGGACTGTAGTGATAGGACAAGGGGTAACGGGTTAAAACTTAAACAGGGGAAGTTCAGATTAGATATAAGGAGGAAATTCTTTACTGTGAGGGTGGTGAGGCACTGGAATGGGTTACTCAAAGAAGTGGTAAATGCTCTGTCCCTGGCAGTGCTCATGGCCGGGTTGGACAGAGTCTTGGGTGACATGGTCTAATGTGAGGTGTCCCTGCCCATGTCAAGACCTTAGATGATCTGAAGGTCCTTTCCAACCACAACCATTCTATGATTTTATGAATTGTAAGTATTTTAGTGTAACTTCAGTAGCAGTTAGAAGTGCTATTAAATGGTTTTAATAACTTGGCTGGAGGCTTGTTTTGATGTGCTGAGAGCATACCATCCCTCACGTAAGTACATTTCTATAGTTTTTGAGCTGGTGTGGTGGCAGTGTGGAGGGGCAGGAGCCTTAGAGGCCATAAGGATGTGGAGATGCAGTAGGGATAAGGCTGTTTGCAGTGTCAGATGTCTTAGGCTGAGGACAGCTGGAGAGGTAAATGACCACCTGTGTGGGAATCTAAGGATGACAGAGCTGGGGGGGGGAGGGGAATGCGTGTGGACACACTGAAAGACGGACATGTGCTGAATGGGAACAGGAAGGGCTGGGGACAGGTCTCTTTCTTCTGCCTTAAGATCTGCTGACAGCAAATCCCACCCAGGAGCAATCTTTGCTTCCTAATGCTGACCTTTTAATTGCTGGGAGGCAGCTTGCAGTGCTGGGACCCAGCAGATCTGCCAGCAGCAGTAAGATGCTTCCCATTGTGCTCCCCCATCCCTGAAACTTTCAGTGCTTCTCAAAACCATGCAGCTTCATTCAGAGATAATTAACTGCATATTAACAGAGACAGACTGTTTATAAGCAGAATAAACCCAACTGTGAGCATGTGGATAGGACACAGATGGGCTTAAGCTATTTCTGAGATTTTTCATTGTCTCAGACATATTTTGTCTCCACATCAGCTTTTACACATTGGCAATGGAGTTAAGAATTAGAAGCAGAGTAAAAAAAGTAAAAATGAACAGTTTTCCAAGCTTGTCATATCTCTAGTGTAGAGGGCTACTGTTCAATTCAAATAAACCCAGTACAGAAGCTAATTGCTGAGAAACAGTGAGATCTTCCAAAGCTCTAATTAAAGGCAATTTAAAATCTCCATTGATATTAGCAAGAGCATCAGACTGCTGTTGGACACATCCCAGTTAGCAAGAACAGCTTACCAACTGAGGGGTGCAGCTGACCTGTTTTAGAAATGGTCATGTCTCTGCTGAGAGTAAATTGAGAGTTAAACTGACGTTGCACAGAGATGTGGCCCATTGTGCCTCCTGCACACCCCGTCAGTGCAGCTGGGAATTGGTATTTCTGAGCACTAAGTGGCAAGTATGCGCCTGGGCTGAAGGGCGAGTGTGGTGCTAAGTAAAGCCAACTTGAACTGGACCTAGCCCAGCAAAGAATGTTGATGTGTGTCTGTAGCACAAGGGTTACAAGCATCTGGGGCTGCATCAGGAGCACAGATTTTCAGATCTACTGGAGAATCTCTACCTAAATGGTAATTAAGTCATTTTCTGTTTAAGTCCCCACATTCCACCTTGCTGCTTTTCTGGCGAAACACTTACTGCAATTGCATTGCCTCATACTTTAACAACCAAATATTCCACCCAACAGCGTTTAGCTGTACGTGGGTACGTAGAAGTGAGTCCCTGCTACATGGGAGCTAGAGGGACTTTTGCCACTGAGTTCAATTGGCACTAAAACTATTCCTGTAAAAGTGCATTTCTACAGTCGCACTGTAATATCTGTGCTGCAGACCTGTAGTTAAATGCATGTTAAAGTCTAGGATCAAGCTGCCTGGCAGTAAGCTAATGGTTCCTAGTGTAGCTACTGCTGAGATGCCTTTCTTCCATTAAGAGGTGATGTTGCTCTAAGTGGTTTATATGCCCAGAATAATGGTGCTTGTGGCTTGCAGTCCTATTCTCCCACCTACATATAGGAAGATGCTTGATGCATTTAAAGAAGATTACATGAGCCAAAAGGTATTGCTCAGCCCAAGAGGCACTGCAGAGCTGCAGCATCCCAAAGGGAGACTCTCATGGGAGTGGGCACTTTGGCATGTGGGGGACATGCATAATTTTGTCCGGGGCTCATGCAGACCCTTTCACTGATTTGAGTTTGCTGCCTCTTCTGGTCTTTCCTCTGGAGATGTATTATAAGCATCAATATTTCTGCATTTGTAGCCTCTGAACAAGCATGCAAAACCCAAGAGACTCCTTTACTACCACTGCTCCTCTGCTGGCACAACATGCAGCACCTAATTATTGGTACACCTACCTACAAAATGACTCTTGAATACAAAGGGGAGAAATATTGGGTCATTCTGGACACATGCTCTACTCCAGTCTGCTGGGATGCCTCTGGGCTTTGGAAGAGTAACCTGGAAGGCAAGGTTCAGTCTTCAACATTGGGCTTTCCCCAATATCCTGCACTTGGCATGCAAAGTAGCAGACAAGGGATGACTTCTCCAGCTTCTTTAAAAGCAAAAGAGTAGGAAGAAAAATAAGAGACATTTACCAGTGTTGCAGGTGGGAAGGGTGTTGAGGCCTTCTGCTTTCCTTTCCCATTGCTGTGCTCCTTGTCTCTTTTGGGCCCCATGTTGAAAATCCTATTCTCCCATCTGAAAAGCACTGGCTGTGGGCTCCCTTCAGAGCCCATTGATGCAATCTGGGTCACTCAGAGAAGGTTGTCAGGCAGGATCGGGTTCCTCCCTGCTGCGCTGGTGCTCAGCTTTGCCTTTTAGGGTGTGTGAGGGGTTGGGCTGGTTCAGAGTCCTGCTCCTAAACCTGACTTGCTCAACCCACTGCAGCCTCAGGACTCCTGGTGCTGGGGCACCATGCTGGGGACACAGCGGATACGTCCTGCGGGATCCACTAAGCACTTCTTTTGGGTGGGGAAAAGTCAATGGCTAAAGTGAGCGCAGAGTATCCCTGTGAGGCAAAACCAGTCTGCCCTGCCAAGGGGCAGCTGGTGAGTAAGGGGATTTCTAGCAAAGTAACAAAGCCTTCCCGGGAAAAGACAGGATTTCAGATGGAACTGAGTGGATTATGACCAAGAGCTAATCTGTATGGCTGTTTCGTAAATTTCCCCAGCGCCTGGACTCTTTGCTCAGCAACAGAAGCTATATGTGCTGAGAATAACTGATTTCTCAGAAACACCATGTAAGAACATACACATGCAGAGGTTCAGAGCAAACTACATCAGTTTATATTTTAGCTATATCTGTAACACAATCTCTCCCCATTCCAGCACCAGCTTACTACTGAAGGACCAGATGTTTTGTCAACCACCATGGCTTGATGGAAGTCACCCTTTACTTGGCAGTTCATATTCCTCTTGATTCCCCACCTCTTTCCTTGATCTTATTCTGGGTACTTACACAGGCAAATGCTTGTGGCAACAAATCTAACTACAGAGGCAGTGTTCAGACCATTGTCAACCTCCTACTCATTTACTGCAGTCAAAATTCACAAGCAAAGGCAGAATGCAGGCCCTCTCCCACCCCAGGGACCACATCATACAGTGGCCATGCTACCGTTAGTCCCTGTGTTCAGACCAGCTTTGCTGCATAGCAAAAGTCATGAATGATGACTTTTCCAGGCTAACAGTTACTGCAAAGGAGTGGAAATGAAGATGTAAGTTCCTGTCTGGACACTCTTTCTGTTCAGCTGCAGGTTTTTATACAAATTATTTAAATTGTCACTACCTCCTCTCTTCCATTTGTAAATCCCTAACCTGCCTGTTTGCTGTTCTTGCACTGAAACCCCTGTGTAAAGATATGGTTTACATTCTAACAGCTGCTGCTTGTACACATTTAGAAAAACAAACTGAATGCTTTCTGGGGAATATGGATATACCAAATCAGCCCAAGGCTGGAATAACAGTACTGTTGTGCTGAGGTATGATGCTTGTAAGCTGGGGAGTGCATGGAAGTTTGTGTTCTGCCTGTGGGAAGTTTGTGTGCAGTTACTGCTTCCTCAGCCCTTCTCCGTTGTAAATGCAAACATATAAGCAACTCCAGCTTCATGCTGTAGTGAATAAAGATCATAAATATGAAGTCAAATAAGAACCAATAGCCCAATAAGTGCATGAGAGCTGTCAGCCTGTCAAATTAAAATTTGCTGCTGCTACACCTTTAATTTGCCTGGCACAGCTGGGAAGTGAAGCAAGTAAATGCTGTACAAGCTGCTGAGTGTGAAGCTGGAGGGGGGCACAGAGTTTGTTATCATCTGGTTGTGAGCTGTGCCTAGGAATTTCCTGTCAACTTCTTTTTGTGGTGCCTCAAGCAGCTTGCTGTCAGGAAGTGTTTCTTGTGCCCCTTCCCTAGCCTATATGCTGTTTTCGTTCTTTATTGCAGCACTCTGGAGTATTTTGCTTTTTACATGAGGCCAGCAGGGTAACTTCAGAAGTTGTTTCCCCTCCTTCCCCCCCCCCCCCCCCCCCCCCCCCATAATAACATCACAATATACATCACTAAAACATTACTGTAAGATGTTAAATCCGGCCAACAAATGCTACCAGCAGCTATTCATTCCTCAGATGAGCAAGTGTAATTTGTGTCTCAAAACAGCACTTGAAACTGTTTGCCTATAAACTGTCCTTCACCTGAATCCTTGGTTAAAGCCTGGCTCATGCCAGCCACTTGTCAGATGCAATCACTCAATCACTCTAGGAAATCCTTTTCCAGGGTGCACTTAGCAGTAAAGCCTGAATTTGCTCTAACGCACACTTTAATCTTTACTCCCTGATACTTCTCAACACCGTCCCTGTCCTGAGCACCTTGGTGCATCCTGCAGCTTCCCCCAGAAAGGATCAGGTTTACCTTAGCAGCGGAGCAGCAGTGCCCAAAATGGAGATTTCAATGGGATCTGACAGAGAGATTTTCCCTCTCATCTACATACTTCTGTGGCTTCCACCTTTGTGAAAATGGCCTATCTACAAGCAGCAAGTTTCCATATATCTTGTCTCTCGATGTCTCCAAATATTTCTCACGGCTCTTGCAGTTCCCAGGCAGTTTTAATTACTCTGTTTTTAAATAGAGGCGAAGCACCAGCATTCAGTAGTTACTCAGAAATGAGCTGCCAGAAGGAAGTGGGTGTGAAGACCCTCTGAAAAAAGTCAGCCCGAAAAAGCTGGGCTTTCTCTCTCCAAACTTTATTTCATGAAGCTCCTTGTTATCCCCACCTTTATAAAAACTCCTCTTCCTTCCTGCTCTGCCCATGCATCCCTGTCTGCCTGGGCTTCTCCGTGACATGATGGCCATCCTTGTGAAGGCATGATGCCTGGTGTGAAGTCCTTGCCTTTGCTGTCATTTGGCAAAATTCATCCTTCTCGCCTGCTCCTCAGAAGAAAACTGCAGGAGTCAGTCAGAAAAGCAGGCTCAGGGTTGGAACAGCCACGGTATTCTGCTGAGCCCACTGCTGGCACATGTACAGCACTTCACCTGGCTGTGCAACCTTTACTTTCCAAGATGCCAGGGCTGTGGGGAAGCAGGCGTGCAGCTCTTTCTCCAGTACTCTCTCATCCCTGTGTATCCTTGCACATGGTGGTGTGAAATCAGGGGCTTCCCAGGCTTTCCCTCAGTCACCTCCATCCGACCACTTTGTCCTTGGATGGTATTTGCTTTTCTGAGTCAAGAGCATGCCAGAGAGACGCTCCCATTCATCTCCGACTGCTCACTGATTTCCTATGCTGTGCACTTGCTATTTGCTTCTATGGCAAAATTAAACGCTGCTTTTGCTGGCGTGGTCCACAGTTGGTTGTGATAGGATCTTTTTTCCCCTGTCTAAAACGTAAGGTCTCACAAATTAAGAAGCTATAGCCTGTCTAGGTCTTATACCAGTCAGTGTCTGATTCATCAGAGAATCTCCTTGGTAACTAGCTGTTCCTCTCTGATTTGCTACAAAAAAAGCTCTCAGAATTTAAAGATAAAATACAGTGAAAACAGGAAGAAGAGCAACACCATATAGATACCTTATACAGGAACATATGCCTTGTGTGGATGCAGCTATACTGGATATTTTCTGATGTGTGTGGGAAGCAGCCTCTCTGTGAAACAGCATGGTATCACCCTGTGGAAGGGAAATGCACACCAGCTGCACTGTCTCTCCTAGAAATCCTTTCTGCTGCTCCAGGGTTGGTTACCCTATCTGCAGGGTAAATAATCCCACAGGCAAAGATGCTGCTGCCATCTAACAAGAGGCTCAGCAGTTTGAGTTTAATAAGGCAGATTTCTGGACTTGTATGGGACTGATTACCAAATGCAAAGATTAAGAGAGGGGGTCGCTTTCTGCAGTAGGTGTGCCTGGTTGCTTGATGCTCTCTTGCTCTGGTAATGAGGCCCTGCTGTCTGACCCCTCCTCGGCATGCAGCAAAATGCTGTGTGTTCTCCAACAGCTGCTCGAGTCAGAGGGAAGGTGTTCACTAAAGATCTGATTGTGGGTTTGTGCATGGGCTGGTTTTTTCCTGGAACCAGCACTGCTGGAAAAGTTGATCCCAGGTAAGGCTGAGAACACTTCATGTTTGAAATAGCTGGTAACTGTGTTCAAAAAGTAAGTGTAAGTGAAGAGTTTGACCCATGAATCCCCAAGGCTGACAAGCTCTGCAGTGAGAGCTTCCCGGAGTTAGAGGGACAAGGTAACAGTACGAGGATAGATAGGAGTGTTCATGTTGTGCGTCTCGTGCACCTCTGTCTCCGCATGCCCACAGCACCTGCACTAGTATGGTGGTGCTTCTGTGTGTGGGCATCCATGATGCTGAGCCCAGCAGGGTAGATAAGGGGACAGACTGAATTCTAACTGGGTGCAGCTGAGCTGCTTTCAATTCCTTTTACCAGATGAACAAGGAATTAAAAATCATTCTCAGATTTCTCTGCCAACAGCCTTCAGATGGCTCTTAGCAGAAGCCAGCAGAGGGAGGATGAAGTCTGGGGCAGATCCATAGCCAAGACACTAGGCAAGTCTCCTTCCTCTCCATGTTCTCATTAGTCTTAGTGCTCTCTGTCCCATGGCACTAACTCCTCTGAATTAATACAACAAACAGCAACAAAATTCCAGATCCATGAGATGTTTTATCCCTGCAGGAGGCTTTTGAGCTGTTGTTATGGCTTGCTTACCCCCAAGAAGCACCCAGCAGCCGGAGGAAGGCTCCTGCAGCCAGTTCTGGCAGTAGGGTTGTTGTGTACTATGGGTGTCTGTGATCTGGGGTAAAACGTTTGTTCCCATCTCTAATATCTGGGCAGGAGAGACCCAGCATCTCTTTGGGGAGGCCTGATTGAGCCCTACTCAGATTTACACCTGTGGTTTCAGGGTGTTTAAATCTTAGCAGCAAAATCTTGTATGTAAATGTGCTACCCCATCAGCAAATCCTAAAGTGCACAAACCTCCATTTATTAAGTAATATGGCTGATAATGAGCTTGCTCTTATAAATGAGGGTTAAGATAATCAAGCTCATTTTTGATGTAAGTGACCCATGACCTTGTTTTGGATAAGGGATGGGATTTTTGATAATCAAAGTTGTGATAAGAAAGGCCTGACCCCCCTCCCTCAATCAGGGGAAAAGGGGAGAGATGCCCATCCTTCCCCCGTCCTGCTCTCCTGCTGCCACTGTGGGTGCTGAGGTATGGGAGAGCAGGTGAGATCCCACCATGTCCCTGATTTACTGTGTGGTTGAGTGCTACCATTTCAGGCGTGGAGGGAAACACAAGGGGAAGCCTTCTCTTCTGCTCTTTCCTGACTTAATTTTCTTTCTGAAGGTTGAGAGAAAGAGCAAAGCCTTTGCCACTGTCAGATCTCTCTCTGCCTGTGCCTCTTGGTGACAGGGAAGTGGAGAAGCAGATGAAACCCCTGAGAGGAGGGATGTCTATGGGATACATCCCATCTGTCTTCATTTCCAGGCTCCCTTGATGGAGGGAAGGATGGAGAGATGTCAGATACAACAGCACTGGTATTTGATGTTAGTATCTCTAATACCCAGTGCCATTCTGTGACCATGGTGTGGCTGAAAGCAGAAGGCTGAGAAAAGCAGGTTCATTTGTGTTTTGCCCAGGGGTAGCAGGAGCTGCATCTCTCCCAAATGGGTGTTGAAGCAGAGCCCGAGTGCCATGTCCTACCGCACAACTCTCCTGAAGCAGGGTATGCTCCCTTGGAGCCTGTCCTGCCCTGTGGAGGTGGTGGGCAAACCTGAAGACTGTTTACTTTTGCGGAAGCTCTGGAGCAGCCAGAGGGACAGATCTCAATTTCTTTTATATATTTTAATCACACCATTGTGACTTGGAGCATCAAAATCTGTTTTTGCCTTACCCCTCCTTCAGTGGTTCCCCTGCATGTGCCTGCAGACAGCATCTCCTTGGCTGTATTATGGTGGTTTTGGCTACAACTTCATATAAAGAAAAAATAAATAATTTATGTACAGTGTTTTGTTGTTTCTATCTCTATTGCAGTGTTTTTCTAGTTTGGGAAATGGAGCAAAGGTGACTGCAGCTATTTATAGCAGTGGAAGGCGCATGGATCCTGGTGCCCACAGCCTGGGGCGGCAAGGGGTGATTCTTTTCTTTTTCGCTTTTACCTCTTCCATTTTATTTTAACTGCTGGTCTAATCCCGAATCAGATTTGAACTTAGAGGAATGTCAGTGGTAGTGAAAGGGGAAAAAAATGTGCACAGCCTTAGCAAGTATTTTTTATGAATTGGATCTTTTGAGATGAAAGCTTCTTTACTGTGCAACAATGAGCCCGCCACACTCTCAGTAGTACAAATGGGCTTCATTTGTATTAGGAAGATAGAAGCTTATTATTTTTAGTCTGTTCCTGTCACACCAGGAATGTTAAATGTGATAATCAATGTAATTGAGGAACTGAATGTACAGAAAATTGCAACACTCTCGGGGGTGATAATGACTGCAACTGTAGTGCTGCTGGAAGGTCTGGGGGATGGGTACAGGTGTGGGTAAAAACAGACTCAGATCCTGACTGTGGGTGATCCCACGTCATGCTGGAGTCCCTGGAGGGCAGCAGGCAGCTCCGGCACAGCCTTGCATCAGGGCCAGACCCTCTCTGGTGCTGGTGGGATGTACCCAGCCCAGAGCATTCAGCAAGAGGCTCGGGGCTTAGGCACATGCTTGGGGATGTTCTGCTGGAAGGATACGAACAGAATGAGCTGCTGCTTTCTCTCCTGAAACCTGGGGGCTTGTGAGGGGCACTGTCCCCTTCTGGGGTCTGATAGGAAGAAGGACATCCAAGAACAAGCCCAGCTGCAGAATTTGGCAGCTACTTTTGAGGTGACCTTTACTGAGTGTTTGCAAACCTTGATAGGCTAGATAGAAGCTGGCTTTTTCACCCTCTAGAAAAAGCAAAAGACACACTTCTGACAGCAAAATCCTCCTGCCAAAATTTCTAGCTCTTCCTCCAAAGTATGGGGTTACTAAAGCTTTTCAATTACATGCTTCAGAGCCTGTAAGGTGGATAAAATATATCTCCAGACTGCTGCTCGGAAGCTGTGAAGCTTTCCCCCCGGAAACTCAGCCTATATCAGGTACCCACTATGAATATTTTTAGTTGAAACTGTATGGAAAGCATGATCAGCAAACTTGTTGGAGGACCTGTCAGTTATAGGGGGATCACCTACAGTGCTTTGGCCACTGCTCACATGAGCCTGGCTGTTTGCAGCTTCCACTCCAGCTTTGGGGAGATGCTGGGTGCCATGTACCAAATTCAACTGCTCCTGTACCGCCAGTCAATTTTGCTGTTAATTCTGGTCCCTCCATGATACAGTGGTGTTTTTCATTTGCTTACTGGTGATTTACTATATTCATTAGCTTGTGAAGAGGTGGCAGGGAGGAAGGTGGCATGTTTGCTCTGCCTTGGCCTCTGCCCCTGGGGCAAGTAGGCTGAGTGTGGGGCAGGTTCTGTGTGAGCTGCTGGACGTAAGCCTGGGTGTTGAAGGGTGAGAAGAAATGTCTTGGACCCAGGGAAGATTGAATGTATTTTACATATAGCCTCTGAAGCTGCAAAATTCAGAGCAAGCCTGATGAAAGCAATGACAGTCTGCAAGAGTGTAGTCAGGTTTGTTTTCAGCCCTCTTTTAATTTGTTTTTCTTAGAGGAGGGAAATTTTCTGTTAGAAAAGTTGCCTGTTCTAGTGGGGATTTTTTAGTAAATCATGACAGCATTTGAGCCAGTGCCCAGAGCTGCCCCACAGCACAAGGCTTTCTCCCTCTGCTATTCTTGCACAGACAGCGAGAGAGAAGCCATGTTTGCTCATTAAACTCATTCTGGCATATGCAATCAGTCGTGCCATGAGTTATGTTTAAGCCTATTGCAATCAGAGGGTACTTTGCTGAGGAAAATCACTGAAGCCAGAGCTGAAGGTATGGCTGTGGTGATGTATTGGCTGCAATGTTCATGTTCACGATGCAATTGCTTACATTACAACACAATTATCAGGGTTTAAAATTGCAGTAGCATTTTGAATGTGTGTATGCCTGGGGTTTTTCTGTTTGCAGAGATGTTTCTTTTATTGTACCTACTTGCCTAATAATGTTACCATTTTAAATACATCAAGGTGTTTTAGAAACCTATTTGTGATCTTTGAAAAACAAAGGTAATCCTCCCAGCTCCATGCAGAATACTTGCTCCATTGCAAGCTGTTCAGAAGGCCTAATTGAGGTTTTGTGCAGGTTTAATGAGGTAAACCCCCTGTTTACCTCATTAGGTAAACCTTCACAGTGTTTCCTGCTGCCTTTCTGAATTTTTGGCAGCACATCCTTCAGCTAGGGCAGAGCGCT